CGTGATCCTATTGGTCATTTAGCGTGAGTAGGTCAGCCCCTGCCGGCGCCTGCTTGTTGAAATGTGATCAGTAAACCAGGTGTGTGGGTGTTGTGATGTGATTTTCCAGGCAGCAACTGAACAATGGTTCATCTGTGCTGCAGACGCCCTATCTGTGTAATCCTATTACAGGACAAAGCAGGACCTCAGGAATACAGAGACTATGTCTACACAGAAGTGAAAGTAGTCAATTTCTACTTCAGTATCACTTGACCCTCATCAATACAATTGCAAGGAAAATAAATGTATTAAAGTAACCAAAGATCAGTAGTTCTGGACAATCATCAACACGGAAAAAAAAGGACTCACCGGGTCTTTGGATTATGCAACGCAATTCATTCATGTTTCCTCTGTTAACATAATTCAAACAAGTTAACCCCAGAAGGAAATTATGTTGGTTTTACACATTATCATTGTGTGGGACTGATGTACACATTACATTCAAGTAAATCCAACAAATCTTTTTTTTCAGTGCACTGAAAAAAAAGATTTGACACCTTTGTACCTTTGACAGAGTGATGGAAAGCCTGAAACAGCACAACAATATGACTGCTTTACTGAAATATGTATTTATTTTTTATGACAATGTCAACTCTTTTGTGTCTTCCAGTGATCAGATTGGTCAGTGCTCAAGTTTTGATCTGATCCTCTGACGTTGACCTGCTCCAGAGCAGGTTAACTGTGTAGCACAAGATACCATGATAATCTAGCCTGATCAAAAGTGAGCCAGAAAAGTGGTATAAAATGGTCCCAGAAAACCTGAGCTGAGCACAAAGTCAGCTGAATAAGCCATTAATCTTTCTTCATGGTACAGGCCCCTGGGAAAGACAGAAACATGGATGCACAAAACGTGGGTTAGCTGAGGGAAACACAAAGTGTGGATGATATAACAACCAACGGGTAAGTAAAACAAATGAAGGGCAGGCTGTAGGAGTGAACACAAACCAGAAACACTAAGCAACAGAGCATACACAGGCTAGAGACACTGCCATAACTTGACAAGCAGGCCAAGCAAACAGCACAGACGAGGGCAAACTATCAATCAACATTTAGATCAGGGGAGGGAACAGGTCAAAACCATTCTGAGCAACGCTGAGGGTGACGAGAGACAACTTCAGCAAAAAAAAACAAAAAAAAACAACAACCTGGCAGTCTGTGTGAATGCTGGCTGCTGAGTTAAATATAGACAGGTGAGCAGAGTGGGGCGGAGCTGGCAGTAACAGCCAGAAAAGAAGGATGAACACAGGAGCTGGGTCTAACCCTAAAGGGAAAACCAGGGGTGGAGACACGGCAAGATGAGTTCAATTTGGCTGTGCCGGCATGCCTATTGTTACACAGCATAGTAAAAATAAACAGAAACCGTGCCCAACTGGTACCGTCCCAGTTGGGTTTTGGAGCACACCCACCACACCCCAATCCTAATTAAACGGTTTGTCAGCCTGAGAGAAATGACAAGTTCATTTTTCAACATGTCACACTCAGTATGTGTCTTGGTCATAATTTGAAAAAGAACAGAAAAAACATCTAATTGTCTAAAAGCCCCAAATATAAATATCAATATTAAAAACCCAGCTATAATTTTTTTTTATTTGCTGTTACTCAATCAGTGGGCCACAGTCCACTGGTACTCACATTACTAGTGGACTGTGGATGTGGCATAACAGGAGGAGGGAAAATATTTACCTCAGTGAATTGAGATAACAAATTGAATGGATACTGAATCTCTTGGGCTCAATTGTCACAGATAAATGACACAGGGAGTGCCCTTGGGGTTATTATTACCAGCCAATTTAAGACACAACTGTGAGTGCAAACACCATGCAACTTCACAAAAAGCCACACTAATTATCTCCAGTTTGTGTGAACCCTGCCAATCTTACTTTGCCACCCTTTGAAAGTTAGATGAATACACAGCTCAAATGATGAGAAATGCTATTGACTGAACATCTCTGAGCTGTCTGGAAAGTGCTGACACTCATTGACTGGCCCACTTGTTTTAGCAGAAATAACCTTTTAAGTTTTTTTTTTTTCCTGCACTTTCTCTTCAAAGCAGTAGTTTCCCATCTTGTAGTTTCAGAGCCCTGCAGATTTTTATTCCAGCCATCTAACAAGGGACTAATTGACACCTGCGATTCCAGGTGAATGTAATGAACTGCAATTAGCCACCTGGTAAGATGGATAACCAGAAGCACTGGGGTTCTTGGGGGCAGGATCGAGAGCCACTGTAGTGAAGAAACAAATCACTGTGTTCATAAAGACAATACAAGTGAAATGTAAATTTATCATTTAGCAATAGAAAGATGAAAAGGGCAGAGTGGTTTGTTGTGTTGATGAAAGGTGCAAAAGTCAGATTCTGAAAGTCACAAAATGATCACAGATGATGACCAAAATAGCATACAGCAGGGAAATTACAACTGGCTTAACAGTTTAGGAAATACATATATTCACATGCTTGCTCAGAGTGAGATGATATAATCGATGTACAGTAGACCTGTTGGGCAGATATTAAGCTAAAGCTAGCTTAGCAAAAAGAGTAGCATGGTCCATTAAATTGCAACATGTGGTTTTTACACTTTGGTTTTTGTGTGAGTAACTGAGATATAATTTGTTATATAGTGAGCTTCAAAGGTGCTGGTAGGCAGATTTTTCTTTTACTTTGAAAAGAGCCAGGTTAGCATTTTCTTCTGCTTCTCCCGGCTTTGGCATCATATTAACAGCTATTAGAGAGTTATCAAACTTTTCATCTAACCCACTGACAAGAAAGGAAATAATTGTATTTTTTTTAATGTTTCAAATAATGCCTTTGGCCAGGTACAAAAATTTGGGACTTTCAAAATTTCATACCTTTTTCTTTTGAGTGTGACTATTAACGCAGGACACAAGCAGCTCAGGGACCAGAAAGCTACAGTATCTCCGCTCCTAAGATCTCATTGTTTAAAGTTGAGGAAAATCACTGCTCAGAGATGTGCCTTAAAGCGATCCATAAAATTTTAAAATCAATCTTATTCTGGGAGCCAGCAATGTGACCGCTAACATGGGGATGATGTGTTGTCTCTTCTTCGACCTACCCACTCAAACAGGTGCACAGGGAGTTTGGATCAATACTGAAAATCCCACAGTGACTGCTTTACAGTGCATGATTGTGTTCATGTGCTGACAACGTCTCAGAGATCCTTCTCTACTAAACTATAAACTGTATGTCATAGGCTGTAATCCAATCATTCTTGATCACAAAGCCATAAAGTAAGGTAACTGCCTTTTCTTATTACCTTCTTCATCATTTAAACTGGTTTAACAAATCCAGCCATTGATCCTTGTACCCCTGGGAGAGAAATGAACACCCAAGTAGACCCTGAGGAAATTGATCAGTTATCTACACAGTGGCTGATATAGCACTGAACTTCACAAATGGTCATAGCTTAGATCTTTTCGGTGTAACAGCACAAAGTAATGTCCTAATTAATGCTGTAGGCAATGTACTCTACATAATTTCTTTGATGTTAAACATGTAATGTATTTCCTAGTATTTACTCTTAGTATGTACTGTTTCTATACCTGCTCCAGAGAATTAGATTGTAAGAGTGTTTACATTCATGGAAACAAAAAAAAGTTTTTTCTTTTTTCAAACTTTTATGCTTTTGCTGATTATCTGAGATTCCGTCTTCACCTCTGCATATGCAATACATTTTTCAGCTTGTATTGGTACCCAAAATAATTTATTATGCGCTGCCACCATCAAAGCCCCAGATAGGAAAAACCCAGACAGACAGGTAGACAGACAAGATTACAGTGTAACCTACACAATGCAAAGCCGCTCAATCACTGCTTTTTATGATGAGAGCCTGCAGGATATAGACATATGACGATAAACAAATCAATCCCCGCACTGCCTGCTGGTCTTATAAGCACCAGTCTGGAGTTAAATGGGGTTGCAGCTCCCTCCAGTGTAAAGTGATGGACAGCAGTGAAATGATTATCTATTAAAACCTGCCTGGAGTCATAGCACCAACAGAAATTCCCATTGCAGTCCTAAAACATGTCACTTGGAGAAATATTCCACAGTAATAATATTTTGTACTTTGGCTCTGTGCTTTTCTGCTGAATTCAGGTCAGAGTTATAGCTCTAAAACAAACAGCTTTAACAATTAGCAATACTTCTTTTGCTAGTCTATCCAGACTGTAGAATTTATTTTGTATTTCCCCTGCTGGATTATGTCTTTCTGACTTATTTGGTCCATCATGTTGAAGGGTTAGGGATTTTGATAAGTGCCTCTGACTGAAAAACAAAGAAGCCCTGCAGCTACAGCGCTGACTGGAGACTAGAGAAACGCTGCATTCATTAGTCTGTAACTCCATTTAATAAAGTGTGGCCTTATGTTTACCTATCTGCACAGACTGCGACATTCAGATTTATTACTATTCACAATACAATTGAAAAGGGGGAGTTGGGTGCATATAATAAAGGACATTGGCTCACACAGTCAAAATCAGTGATATAAGTTCAAATTGTTATGCCACAGCATAGGAGACATTTTGATTGTCTTAAGTGTGCAGTAGGGCTTTTTTCACTAATAAGTGTCAGTGAACTTATCATGATTGGGTGCATCAAATAGCCACCTGTGATCACATCCATGTCGGAAATTAGTGTTTTTCTCTTTAACGTGTTATCCCTTAGATTCTTTTATGACTATTAATTCATAACTAAACATAACATATCATATGATATGATATGATATCTGCTTCTCTGAAAACCTTACAAAGCTCCAGTCCTTACAACATTCAGTGTTGCCACCAAAACCAAAGTCATACATGCATTCATAGAACTAAACAAATCAAATAGGGGTCAAATAGGCAACTTATGAAATATAATCTCCAAACACTACAGACTACAAAAAACTACACAATGCAATATTTACTCAGTACTGTAACTATCAAAGGATGTATTTCAGTATAAAACTACACAATTCAAAAGTCCTCCAAACATAACCACTGAATTAACACCATTCTGACATTTTGAAGAATTAAACATGATCAGACAAACACGTTGTTGGTTGTAGCTACCTGTAGGTGTACCTAATTTATTTATCTGATATTCATTCTGCAGTTTAAATAATAATCATAAATGATGAGACAAAGGGAAGCTAATGAGTAACAGTAGTGACAGATTTGTAACCTCAGACACCAGGCAAAAAGAAATTCAGGCAAATGTTTCTCATAATTTTCAATGCTTACATTGTACATAAGACACTGTGACATCAGAATTAATAAAAGACAAGTTCAGAAAACATCTTAAATGTCATTTTTTGAACTGAAACTCAAATGTTGCCTTTATGTAACAAACACAATCAAGTAAGTTTGAGCAATATGTGATTGTTATGAAAAACAGCCATTTTAGACTCTTGCTCTTTTTAATCAAATACACCATGTGCTCATTTAACACTTGGATAATAAACATTTATCTCTGTAACAAGTTATATATTAAAAGCAATAATTCCAGCTGTAGTAGGAGTCAGGTCCTGTGGTCTGTGAGATGCACTCAGTGTAGTTTGATAAAGCAAGCCTGTTTAGTACATTGACACAGATCTGTAGAATGTTTTTCCCAGTCTCCTCTTTGTACTGTATACTGCACAGTGGATGTGGGATGTTCACCACAATAATTCATTAACTAGAATACATATCTGAATTGGTATGTTGGAGTTTGCATTAAGATTATTAAATTACTCCTATTGGAACATCTGTGGATGCATTTCAAATCCAACCCTTTTAGACTGACCCGTTTAGTTTTTGTGCCCTCTTCGTATTTATTTGGTGTTGCTTTCATTGTGAGGCAAGTTGTGTCTACTCTATACAGCTGCAATAAGCATACATTTCCTGCATGCTTGCGCAGGATCTTACCCGAGAAATCTGCTGGCCTTTAAAGGTTAATAAACCATGGCATAACTTCAACAAGGACCTAAAGAAGCTCCCACTACGCTTACTTAATGCTTCATCAGATCAAGAGGGATCTAGTCGTGGATGCTTCACCTGCTGGCTTAAAGAGTTCCAATTCTTGGGAACATGATGCCATTAGTCATGTTAAAGTGGCATTTTTAAAGCCACCCTGGTGGCAACAAACCGAGTGTTGCTAAGATTCCTTTATTTAAAAGTTCTTTGTATGCTGACATTTGGGGGTGTGTGGCCGTCAAGTTTGGCACTTTGATATCAGCTGTGGCTAATGGTGACTTCTCAACTCCTTGGAAGCAGAGGGAAGGATGTTCCTGTTTTCCTTGAAGTTGATCAAGTGTCCTTTAGTATTTTATGCAGTTGGATGTACTCTAGATTATTGGAAGAAAACTACTGGAAGATCTGCTATAAACATCCTCAGCCTTTATGCCCTCCAATGTAAGGCCAATAAGAGTCAAATGCTACAAGTCAATATCCTACAATATAGCACCACTGCAAGTCAATCAAGCTAATTATTTATAACAATGAATATAATTACAGGATGCAAAAAATATTCCACAATCTAACAGATAATAATTGCAAAACTAATGTTTAATTATATTAACACTCAAATGAATATGTCATGAAATACTTTAAAAAGACTGATTACGTGCAACAGTTTCAAGGAAAAAAGGCTTAATAATCTAATAATATGCAGGCAAATTAATAAAATAAATTAAAATAAGGGCTTACTATCATTAAGAAGTACATCAAAACAGCAATGCTGTAAAAATGGGAGAGATAAAACCTGTTTTGTATTTCAGAATTCCTTGCCATGAAAAAAAAGTCAACACAAATTTATTTAGTATAAAGTATAAAGCACTCTCTATGTTATCCACTATTGATACTTCTATTATTAGTGTTTTGGAAGATTAATGTTTTTCATGGTTGTTCTTTCCTGTGGGTCAAGACCAGGGCAGGTTATGGAAACATTTGGCATGTAGACTTGGATTGGGTTGTTTCTTCCAGATTGCATTCCGCAGAGTCTTTGCAGCAAAGTAAACATGCACCAGCAACAAATAAGACAAGAAAATGAAAGAGGCACATAGGGCGCATCTCAAACAACAAATTTGTTCTTGGTGGATGAACCACTTTTGGTAGATGTGTCCGCATGGGATTGGTAGCCAATAGTCATCTTCATGGGAAGCCCCAAGCGCTCCTTGTACACTCTTCTGTTGACAGGAAATGACAGTGTAAGAGGATGTCAACATGTGTAAACACTTGCAACTGATACTGAAGACCGGCCTCACCCTATGTGTGTAACAGCTTCCCGATTCTCATAGTCTGATGTCCAGATGGCTATTTTATCTCCTTTTGTGCGGATGTTGACCACGGCTCCACAGACGTCATCGCTGTAGTCGTCAAAGGCCTCGCCGACTAAGCACAGGAGCTGGTGAGGAGATGAAGAGGAATAAAAGCTGTTTTCGTAACATGATTCACATTTTGACTTTAAATTCAACTGCAACTCCTCCGGCTTTCATTCAGGTTTACTGGAACATTGTCAGGTTATGTTGCTGCACCTCAGAATCAACATCTAAGGTTTTTACTTACTTTCATCACAAAGAGTAAAGATCAGTGGAGCAGTAACATTATGTAGCAGGTATTTTACAGTCACAATATACTTTTCTTATAACAAAGACGCTAAGATGTGACTATTTACCTTTCGTTTTGTCCTTATATCTACAGATATACTGTATAATAAGAAATAAGAATCCAAATGTCCTTTTCAACACTCTGATGTTGATAACCCAAATACAACTTTGACATACAATAGATTACATACTCTCAAACCCGTCTACAGATCAGTTCAGAAGAAAGCTGATGGATTATCAGTCTTTGAGCTCAGCATCACTAGCCTTGATCCATATAAAAGAAGTCACATGTGAAATAAAAGCTGGTGCAGGAATCCTTTCATGGTCACCTGCTGCAGCACCGCTCAGCCACTGCAACACAGAGTGAAAGAACAAAATACAAAAGCCTTATGCTGCTTTGGGAATTATGCATTTTTCCAAGTTGGTTAGCCCTCATGCTAATCTTGGAGTCATACCAATTAGATACAACAAATTGCCTGCTTTTGCCATGTTATGTATAGTTAACAGCTCACTGTAAAGTGAAACAAATACAAACATGTACTGCATAGTGCCTGTGGAACACCAGGCAGGTGACAAGAAGCAACCTGAATAAATGAGCGGTCTCTGCCAAGATGACAGCGCTCCCATCCAGTGAGCAAAAGGGGTCACTGAATGGTTTGATGAGTATAAAAATTATGTGGATCATATACTGCGGCCTTCACTCATTAGATCTCAGCCCATCTGAACACCTATAAGAGATACTGGGCAGATATGTTAGTGTCTCCACCTCCATCGTCCAAACAGCACATAAGGGAATATCTTTTGGACGAACTGGTATTTTTCCCTCCAGTAAAGTTCAGAGACTTGGAGAATCAAACACTGAAGCTATTCTGGTGGCCCAACACCTTACTAAGACACATTGAATGCTAAACTGCATTTCGTTGCCTTGTACTTGTACATGGGTAATAACAATGAAGTTGAATCTAATCTAATTAGTGGTAATATTAGATTTGGTTTTGATAGGAATGCCAGCAGTGGTGCCTTTGCAGTTAATGTGACATGTTGTGGTTCTTTTCACATAGCGGGTGATATAATCACTGTAAGAGAAAATCCCAATAGCCCTGACTTGAGTTTACAAGTCAGAAGATGACTTGTAAACGGTTTTCCCCACTTGGCTGCTTGTACATATAGTTTAAACTACATAATATGAACATGGCATCGGTGCTGCCACCAGCACCACCATTACTGCAGTACAGCCAGTGGCAACTCTGGCACCTCAGCACCCAGAGCTCAAGTACTGCTCATGTGAAATTGTCCACAATCATTAAAATATGTTTTAACCCAGTTTAACATATGGTTTAACAATTTGTATGACTGCCATTGAAAGAGAAAGTGCCCTCTTTCCTCAGTAGCTACAGTACTGACAGAACAGTAAGTGTTGTTGGCTCACTGTCAAGTCATAGCTTGCTAGAGGTCTGAATCCCTATCAGTGATCCTTAGATGGTTCACAACACTGTGAGGACTGCAGACAGCAGCACAAGCCAATTCTCAGTTGGTCTCATGTGACTATGTTGTGACACCATCACAGAAAGTTTATTTTCTTAGATATCACAGGAGACTTTGTTGTGCAATAAATGATGACAATGGGAAGACAATTTTAAAGAGTGTGAGAGGATGCAATCACCCTCATCAGTAGTGTGAAGTGCTATGATGGAGTCGTACAACTAATTACAGCTGCCAGCAGGTAATAAAAGTACCAACTTTTGAAAGATGCTCAAGAAGTGATTAATCTTCTCGGGACAGGATACAAAACACAGCAGCCACAGCCAAACCCCTACAGTTCCCAGCCAGTAGCAGTCCAGGTCTGATCTCCTCTGCTGCTTGGTGAGTGTGATCAGCCAGCGCCCACCACGCCTGTTCCTCTCATCTTCCCACATGGGCTCGATGCCATCCTGCAGCAATGGTTCAATTTGTCAATACACACTGCAAACCACTGCACCACAACAGCCTTCAAAAGTGAGGCTTCAACAGGATTCCAACATATCACAGTAGAAACTCTTTAAATCTGATGAAAGGTTTACAGTTGGAATACTAATCAGTTACCGACTCAATACATAGCCTGTGGTGGTTAAATATTTAGTTAACAGCTTCTTCTCAAGTTGCTATTCTGCCATTCTACACAAGCTCTGCACACAATTTGTAAAACCTATATTGTACGGCTGCAGATTAACTCCTCGGTGTTCACTAGACTTTGCTACAGATGGTCCTGCTAATGCAGTTCAATAAAAACACACAGATAAAAGACTGCAGTCCTATTTGATTACTGCCTTTTCCATGTATGATCACCACCAATCTCAACACACAGTATAATCTCTGCCTGCTTGCAGCCTCCTGCCATTCTACTTACTCAAAACCTCCACCCATGCTTATAATTTTCTATCATCATTACCTCTGGTTAAATGAGCTCTTTTAAGGTGACGAGCTCTGATCTGGTAGAGACAGTCAGTCAGAGAAACATCCTGCCCACTTTTCTTTGTTTGCCTGCCCTCCAGCAATGGAACTCTTTGTGATCACAGTTCAATTAGGCGTTGCTCTGTGTGCAGCAGCTTTAACTGTATCTTTTGTCATAAAGAATGCTATTTGGCTTTATTTGTAAGCTGGTGATAAAATGTTATTGCATGTTCAATCCTGTGGTAGATACAAGGATCATTTGAAAGTGAACTGCGGGACCACTGTTTTTCAGATAACTGCCAAAAGATGACTTTTCATCCTATGTAATGTCTTAATAAACAATAAATACATGAATAACGTACAGGTGAGATTATCTCATGTCAAAGGAAATGTGATCTTCCACTTAAAAAAAAGGGGGTTTTAATTGAGTCAGTATTAGAAAAACAGAGCAAACACTGATGAACATGCAACACAGCACACTGGTATGTGAAATACCAGAAATGCAAAGTACTTTTCTCAGCACCAGAGAGGATACTGGAATCTGAAAGTAACAAAACCCATTTTTAACTACACTAATGTGCATTTTATCTCCCACATATTTACATAAATGGAAAATAAGTCATATCTACCTTAAATAGAGAGTAATCACAACCTGACATGAGGTTGCTTGACAGCTGGATATGGTTGTAGAGGCTGAAATGAAGAGAGCAAAACAAGCTGTTCACAACTATACACAGTCATGACATTTTTCTACTTCAGTTACTCCATGGCTGTGCAGAGAAACAAAAAGGCTCCTTACGCCCAAAAATCTTCGACTGTGTCAAATTTAGAGATGAGCCGCTGGTTGGCCTGCCATGTTTTGCTCTTGTCATTCTTGAAGAACCACAGAGACCATCTGCTGACCAAAAACAAGAAAGGAGAATTTGCATAAATGCAACTAGCTCCTAATTAAACACGAGGTAAACTGAAGCCACCAAAAGCCACAGAGCTCTGGAGCAAATGGGAGAATATGGATAAACCTGGATGCTGCAGACACAAACTGCTCAGTAAATCGAGCCATCACTCTCTTGGTTCAATTATTTGTGACGCTGTGTCATACTTGTTCAACACTGAGTCTTTTTTTATTGCTCAGCAAGTCCCTAAAGCTTTTTAGGCTGGGAAAAGTGTGACGTTTAAACTATTATAAAGCCTTTAAAGCAGCTAGCCTGTCAGTGGGGACGGGTGGCGTTGTTTTTATGAGAACACACTCCAAATGAATGACCGAACAGGACTGAATAATTTAAATGATACAAATTTAATTCCCTCCTGTTGAACTGTCTACACTTCCCCCGTTTGATAGTTGTCTGGCAAAATATCTGAATGTTTATTTATAGGTCAAAATCTGAGATACTGTATCTGTATACTCATCTATCTGAGCCAATATAGAAATATAAAGGCATTTTAGTCATTTTGCACCACCTTCATAGTCAGCTGTCAATTTTGAGATATTTGAACATTAAACCAACAATTTGAGCCAGCATATTTCAAACCTCACAACTGAGCTGTAAGACAAATAGTTTTTGAGTTTCAACTTTTCTTTTTAGCAGGCTGGCTTTCTGTTTAACTTTGAGACATTCACCATTTTGGACATAAATATCTGTGTGGAATTTAAACATAAAATATTCTTTCATTGCTTGTTTGTATTCAGCACTGAACTGAGGTGGAAGCTGTCAGTGTGTGGAGTCAGAGGAAAACACTGAAACACCAGAGCAGATCACCAGACCATCTCAGACAGTCACAGTCTGGCTGTGGGGGAGAACAAAATTTCCAACACACCAGGCTGCATCTGTTTGGACTCAGAGAGCAAATCTGCTTTAACAAGAAGTGTCAAACACACATTAAAGCCATGGGTAGTTTAACCACTGAAACATATACAGTATCATACATTTAAATTACACATAATATCATAAAACTTGCTGACTGCTCAGCTTCTTCTTGGTGAACAGTGTTCATTGTTATTGTTCTTAGCAAATGATCAGTTCTTGCCTGGCTTTCACTTCTATATGGTGCCATTCCGTTGTGTGGAGGAAGGGTCACTCGGTTCTTACACAATGCCTAGAGATCAAACTGCTGCGTGATGCACAAGTCACCAACCTTGTCTTTTAAGCTGATGATGTATAGGCTTTTCCATTTCCTCATTTCTACACTTCCACACACACAGCTAGAAGCAGCCACTCGGACTGAGAAAATAGTTCACAGATTAACAGATAATGAAAGTAATTTTTACGTGCAGCCCTACTTGACATGAAACTTAAGATGAAATTTGCAAATAATAATTATGGCCAAAACTAAATGAACTGTATTTACATAGCGCATTTTTTCCTCAGTGTGTTGCACTGGCCAAAGCGCTTTACAGGAGATGATACACCATTCACACACCAATGACGACAGGCTGCCACACAACAGCGCTAGTCAAGCCACCAGGGGCAATTCAGGGTTTAGTGTCAGCTCAGGGACACTTAGGCATGCGGGGAGACCGGGAGTTGAACCACCAACTTGCTGGTCAGAAGATGACTGCCCTACCTCATGAGCCACAGCCAACCCAAACTAAGATTCATTACTCTCTGATCTGACAATTCTTTTTAATTACACAATTAATTTAGTCTACAAATACAGGGGGAAAAAAACTGTGAAAATGCCCATCAGAAGTTCTGAAAATCCAAAGCAATGTCTTCCATCTTCTTGCTTTGTCTGAACAACTGTCCAAAAAACAACTGAGTTTATAGTCACAAAAAAGTATGAGCAAAACCTCACATTTTTGCTTGATTTAACAAATGAAAGAAGTATTGGAGGGTGGCACGGTACTGCAGTGGTTAGCACTGGCACCTCACATCAAGAAGGTTTTGGGTTTGAACCTCATGACCTACTGGGGCCTGTGTGGAGTTTCCATGTTCTCCCCGTGCCTGTGTGAGTTTTCTCCTGGTGCTCCGGCTTCCTCCCACAGTCCAAACACACGTAGCTTATTTTAACTGGTGACTCTAAAGCCCTTTTCAGACATGCACTGGAAATCTGAAATGATCTAGACATTACCTGAAAATGCAGATGTCCGAGTCAGCTGACCTGGACATTAAGCAAACTATACCCTGCTGGCTCCCTAGTACCAAGTCCACGTAATGCCCGAGTGAGCCCATGTAAGAAAACCGTCATGTATAGTCTGGAGAATTTGCATGGAGTTAGTAGGCATGTTGATGACATTACAATACAAACATCTGATGGTGAAGAAAAACTGTCATTTACAATGAAGACATGGAATGAAGAACGGAACTTTTTTTTGTTAAGAGCCAGTGCCAGAATTGTCAGACAAATTTAAAGTATAGCAAGACTTAATTGTTTATGACTGCATCGTGCCCTGCTTTGGAGCTTATACCTGCTATATCATTTTGAAATGATCAAATGTGTATGTGTGTGTTCCAGTGCTTGTCATAATTACACTCCCTGCTTCATAGAAAGTTTATATTGCAGCCCATAACCTGTTCTGGAGAGGGTGTTTGATGTAGGCCTCTGGGTTCACAATCTCCTGTCCTGGCTCCTCAGCTCCACATTCATCACTATCAGGCGGACTTGGGTTGATTTCCTAAAAAAATGGTTAGGTAAAAGTAAAGCACAAATAGGAGGAGATCTATTCCCAGTGGAAATGGTCATATTTTCTAGCGTGGCTCTAAGTGAATAAATTCCTGTAATCTGATGTCTAAACCTTTTACTAATAACTCTCCAGCCATGGCAACTGGATGGTGGTACGATTAAACACACGTGAAACTTGGAGAGCACAGCTGGCAACACAACGTTGCCATTTCCAATTTCAAACGAGATAATTAATCTGCTGAATAAACTTTAATCACCTTACAAAAGAGTTTCCGTGACGGAGGCGTTTGACCTTAACGTTACTTATGAAACCCGATACAAACATCTGGTACACATTTCACTGTGATGTCAGTGTAGCTAGCTAGCTAGCATTAACTCCACTTCCAGCATTACCCGCTCGTGGCGACAAGTATGTTTTGGCACGTCTGTATCAGCCTGTTGATAAACGGAAATAACAAAACGCAATTTCCATTCATATGTCTGCCAGTTTAATTAATCAGTGCTTGATAACAAAGTTACACAACCGGAACTATAACATAAACTAAAGACCTTAAACCAGACATTTGGAGCTGGTGAAGACTGGACTTATACGACAAGTATATAACGTTAGTGTTTAACAACAGTGTTTAACTTAGTGAATTCACCTCTCTTGGCTGTTTTACGATAATCTAAGTTAACGTTAACCTTAGCCACTAAAATAGCTAATTCTGCATCGTAACGTAACTTAGAGGTCAGCAGAAAGCAGTGTCAATAAATTTTAACATTTGGATTTTTTAACTACAAAACCAGTCCTGTAATTATATGTATTATTCCACATGCCGAATTTACCATTAGTCTATAATAAGAATAAGCGTTTTGTAAAACTGCTTCTCGAAAATGCAATATTTTAATAGACAACCTAAGCAAACGTAAAGGGAAACATTTGTAATGGACGTTTGTGTGCTTCTCCTTTGCACGTCCGTCAGCTATAACGTCAGCCTTAAAGTTGGGAGCTCTCCACACAAGCATTCCTTTTTCATGCTTAGGTCGTGGCAGACTTGAAATGGTCAAAACAACATGTGTAATAATAAGAACAGTCTATTTCTATTTAAGAGTATTGTTTATAGTTATTCATAAATATTGTGTATGCGTTTGCACCGTAACTAAAGTATGAAGCCCCCAGAATGTTTTGATATGTTCTTTAAAGAAAGTCCTTACCGGTTCGGCAGTCGCCATCTTACAAATCTGTTTGGAAAGTTATTGTTGATTGGACTGAGCTGTGCAACGTGACGGCCCGCTGCGCACATGCGCCGTGTGCAGCGGCAGTCGGACCCTATTGGGCTGGCCGTCTGCTTCTCGGAGACTCCACCCCTCTTCTGCAGACCGAAGCATGGCGAGTACCGAGGCTAGAAGGGAATGTGAGACGGAGGGCTGCGATAAGGACGCTAAACTCCAGTGTCCCACATGTATCAAGCTTGGCATTCAAGGTTCCTTCTTCTGCTCACAGGTACTGCTGATATCTTGGGTTGTCCAGTTTAAATGTCGGTTGTTGCCGCATTCCTAGGCCCCATGTCTTATACGAAACTGCTAACTTTCAAGCTAAGTTGGAATGTGGAGCTGTTTGGTAAACCGCTAATAATGTATAAGCTCACCTTTGACAAATGTCTTCTGGTTGTGTAATGCTGTTCAGAATACTGCGGGTGAATAATGCGATCTCTGTAAGAACAGGCTGAGAGAAAACATGTAGGTAGCTAACGTGAACTGCAGGCTGGTTAGCTAATGATGTCGCTGGCGTGAAGTGTTCGTTCTGGCAGGATAAACTGTGTATAAATGTGTATTGTGTAGAATCCAGGCACGCTACTAATGCACTGGACTGCAAGTAATGTTATCTGAGTTGTAAAGTCAGCTACTGCAGAGTAACGGTTGCGTGACAGGTCACTTGATAGCACGTTTTTGACCCTTCATCCTGGTGCTCTCTCTCTTACGAGACCAAACCCCACTCACAAATCTGTCAGTTTTTAAAGGAACTGCTTATGATTATTGTTCATTAACAGTAACGACTCTCTATACTGCATAGGAGTGATCAACTGAGCAGGACTGACTTGAACAGTATGACAGAGCCATTGTCATTAAGTTTTACTGGAATACGTTATGCAGGTTATAATAAGTTCTTTCACTCATACGATTTATACAAATGGTTAATTTGGGAGAGACTTGGATTGCTCTTGTGGTACCATGGTATTTGGCCATACATGTGTTTGCTGTGATTGTGGTTGTGGCAATGCAACCTGACCCTTCTCTTTTTACATCCTGTCTGCTGTCCACTTAGTGCACACACCAGTGGAGATAACAGTTGGGTTAAGGATACATACAATACATATTTGGACATAGTCTGAAAATACTCTTCCGGTCGTGCAAGATCGGTCACAGTGTGCACCCAATTAGCCTAGCACTGTTTGTATTTGGTTTTGAATAGGTTGTGTATCGGCACAAATTCATTGTCCATGCATGCGATCGCTGCACATTAGTTACATGAACTTTGGAGCACAATCTGCAGTGTCAAAAATGGCTAGATGTGTCTATATCTTAAATATTTCAACATTGGTTTTCTTTGTGTTTTCATTTCCAGGAATGTTTCAAAGGAAGCTGGGTTTCTCACAAGTTGCTGCACAAAAAAGCAAGTAGGTGTCACTGATCACTGTCAGTTATGTTCTTTGTTGATATCAGACTCTGTGTTGTCCCAACATCATCTGGGTTAATAATACAGATAGTCAAGCTGGGGTTTTAAAAACAAGTATAACCCATACCTGTTGTTTGTTTAGAAGCTGTTATGAAAGTGAAGAATAGATGATATCTCTTGATTGTGAACTGACACAAAGGTGCCAGATGCTTTAGAAACACTGTGCTGTTTTTTTGCTAGAAGAGGACAAAAACCAGATTGAATCCAAGAACTGTGTGGAGAAGGACATCAACACAGACCCATGGCCAGGCTACCGGTACACAGGGAAACTACGCCCTTACTACCCACTGGTAAGTTCTTCATTACCAGTGTGCAGTGTGAGCACTATCTGTGCCAGGGCATGGAACACCAATGCTGTGTGCTATGCCAGAGCACTTCTCATCAGCTCCATCGGCCAGTAAGGTGTTTGGCCACCAGAACAGCTTCAGTGCTCCTTGGCATTGACTCACGGAGTCTCTGAACTCTACTGGAGGGATGAACACCAGTCTTGCAAAAGATACTCCCCAATTTGATGTTTTGATGATGGAGGTGGAGATGCAGTCTGACACGTCGGTCCGAAGCCTCCCATGGGTATTCAGCTGGGTTGAAATCTGGTGACTTTGTGAAGCCCGCAGCATATGATTCACATCATTTTCATACTCATCAAACCTTTACTGTGACCTGTAGTGCCCTATGGGTGGGGACACTGTCATCCTGGAAGAGACCACTCATTTATTAATTGTTTTTTCTGTCCTTTGTCACCTGTTTGTGTGTGAATTCCACAAGGTAACATGTCTGTCTTCTTTGTCTGTGCTGTAGACTCCCATGAGGCCTGTGCCTGGGGACATCCAAAGACCTGACTATGCTGATCATCCCAGAGGTAATCACATTTTTTTCTCACTATATCTTTGCAATTGATCATACTGGCTCATTGCCTACTTGGGCAGCTTTGCTAGCTCCTCTTAAACTCAAGGTTTTATTGTTGTTTGTTTTTTTGAGATGGTACACTGTAGCTTGCATTTTTCTTTTCAGGAACACTATATTGTACACCACCGTTCGTTGTTAACATGTAACACAGTGCTAATAGTGTTAATAATTTGAAGGCTGGTGTTTTGAAGGCTTAGCCATAGCAATCCTTGTTCCATTAGAGGCACTTGGTCTTGTTCCAAAATGCAAAGCACATGCAAAAATTAGAAAATTAGAAGGGAGAGTTTTAAGAGGTATTTACACCTGGTTAATATTTCACTGGCAAAGCTATGATTTGCCTCTCTAGCTGCTTGAGCTAATGACCATGGTCAGTCTATCCATCTTTCCGTTTGCCTGTCTAATACTGTTGTTTTGGCCAAAATACTTCCAACGACTGTGATTCAGACTAGTATGAATGTTTGTGTGTTTTTTTCCTGGTTCCCAGAGGATGATTACTACTGATTTTGGTTACCCCTCAATCTTGACTCTAGTGCCGATATTTATTATGTAAATCCCCGTTTACATAATAAATATCAAAACATACTGTAATGCTTTGATTACCATAGAAGGCCTTTAGACTTGAATGGACCTTAGGATAAACACGTTGTAACAGCGTGGTAAGGTTCTCATAATAGCAATACCTTAGTCACTGATGGCCTGAATAGTAACACAGAAGTGCACAATGAGAGAAGGAGCCTGTTGACATCTTGTCTCGGTGTGTTAAAATAACCAAGACTTATGTGGTCATCCATGCATGTGCATTATCTGCTTTTTTTGTGTGAGTGCACAGATAAGCTGATATGCTTCATGCTGTTGGTCTAGGTGTTTTAAAACCCTGCAGGCAGAGTTGAAGGCCAAGAACTGCATGAAGAAGACCAGCACTGGTTCAGGTTTAGTTGTAATTCAGAGTAAAAACTGCTACTTGCTACCAAGTCCTTAAATGCTGCTCTCCCATTAGACGGTTCTTCATTTAGGCTAAGTGATCACTGTGATGCCACAGCAACGCTACTTGGCGATAGTTTATTATAATGAGAGTTAAATGACAGTGCACTGTCTGCAAATGAACTTTTGAATTGTTATGTGGTTTTGAACGAGAAGATGAAATGCTGCAGGATGATGCCTGTTCTCAGTAGGAATGGTAGCACTACTGTCAATTCTCTAAAGTTCATTTGATTCACTTTTACAATGAAAGATATTGTGTGTGACCTTTCCTCACACTGGTTTTTAAGAAGTCATATATATATATGTACAGCTTTCTCCAGTTTGTCTTCAGCTTTCTCCTGATGACATTTCTCCCAAAGCTTCAACTGGAATTGATTTCCCTCTGTTAAACAGCCTAATAAAATCTCAATGATCTCTTTCCACCAGCAGAAACCACAGTAGATTTATTGCAGGGAAAAGTAAACAGCTGACACATCTGAAGTCTGGCTGTGTTTTCTGCTTTTTTGTTTTTAATTCTCAGACAGCCATAATAGTAGCCTGCTTTATTTACATCTATCTCTCTGGCCAAGTCATTCATTGTGCAGCCATGGCAACCTCTACATCCTTATCATCTGGCTGCATAGATCCATACCCAGGTAGTCATGGTTACAGTCTCCTTTCATTCTCCCGTGATGCTTGTTCAAGCACAATTCTTACAGGCTAGTGTTTACTGACATGGCACTGTTATTGAATCTAAGTGAAATCCTGGTTTTATTATTATTATTTTAAAGACATACAGTGCTGACTAGTACACCAATAAGGAAATGAACCATATGAAGACATAATCTGAAGACATTATGACGACATTCCAATGTGCACTCTTTAAATGTTCTTCTACTTTGCTTCTTTTCTGAGCAGCTGTATCAAAGCGTAAGTCTGATTGATTGTCGCACTTGTGGTGTCGACTCTGGGTCAGAAGGAGGGCTGTATCTGACTTGTACACAAACCTGTCTAAAGTCCGTGTTGCCAGGTAACTGTTCATGTTCATTCAGCAGTCATTTTGTTGAGTTAATAAATTATAGATTAGTGAACTGTTTGTGGCACGAGTGCTTTGACCAACATTTATTTATAGTTTAAGAACAGAATATTGCTTAATCTTTTGTTACATTGCAGGTAGTCAAATTTATTAAATTGAATGTACTGACACCTGTGCTTATGTTCTCCGTGCAACAGTAACAGCCCTGCTCTGTTCCTCTGAGTCGACGGTGCGAGTGCCATTAATGGGCTGATGCTATAGTGTAGTCTCTATAGGAGCAGCTTGTTATTTAGAGCACCAGCAAGAAACATTTAGGCTTTTGATTTATTATTTTAGATTCGACTGTAATAAGAGTAAGTATTAAAATATGACATTTATGAATTTCAGACCAACCCTAAATCAGGGTCCATGTCGGTGACACATTTGAAGAAAAGCCAGTCCCCTACACTTTCTGGACATTTGAGATGGACTTTGCAAGTTTGTATGCATGAAACTTAGGCAGATTTAAAAGATAATAAAATAAGTTTTTTTTTTCTCCAGATTTGTTCTCTGACTGAAAATCAATCATTCATTTTATTTACTCTGTATGTACAGATGTAACACATTAAAGATTATACAGCAGAACACTCAACAAAACCAAACCAATACTGTTCCTTTGGCAGCTCAGCCTAGTCTTCGACTCTAGCTGTGGCTTTCTGAGGGCAGACATGGCTTCTGCTAGAGGGTCGAGTTTGCTGCAGATGTGCATTTGTTCTTTTAAAGGGATTTCTGTTGATCCTTGTGCTCATGGTCTGGAGGTGAATTAATTGTGCACTGTCTGACCTGTTGAAGCTGCCAGGCGTCTGACACCGCAGAAGGTAAAACCTGATAGCGAGGGTGGATGCAGTATTAAGTGCTCTTGTCTCAGACATGATTGCCTTAACATAAAGCATCCACATGGCAAACCCTTAAACTGGGTATTGGTTGAAATTGCATCAGTTATTGTGTAAGTTCTCACAACCAGGTGATCTATCACATCACTAAGGACACTTCACACCCAGGACGTTCACTCTTTGAACTGCTGCCGTCAGGTAGACGGTTCAGAGCAATCAAATCAAGGACCTCTAGATTCAGGAATAGTTTTTACCCAACAGCAGTTACCACACTCAATGCTGTTAAAATATAATATGCCTGTGTCTGAGAGGGCAGTTTATTTCATTTTTTTTTTAAAGCTGTTATGTTTTTTTATATGGTCTTATTTCATACGTTATGTTTTTTTCTATTGCTGTACCGACTGGAGGTCAGTCTAAAAATTTCATTGTATGTGTTACAATGACAGTAACAGTAAATGACAGTATCTATCTATCTTATCTTACATTTGATGGAAAAATAAAACTGAGGAGGTTTGAATTGATGCTCAGTCTGAAAATTGATGGACTGATGACGACTGCTTTGCAAAGTCCCGTTCGAGTCAGTTCTTCAGCTTCACTAGGTACTGACGTGTGAATGATGCCAGGTTTCTGTCCTCGCTCCTGTCCCACAGGGATGTCTGAGTCTGAGCAGTTTCTGAAGGGGACGTCACAGATCAAAATCCTCTCTCCTGAAGACATTGAAGGCATGAGAGTAGTGTGCAGGGTAAGGCACTTTACTGCTGTTACTGTCATGGTGTTGCCATAGTTAGCTTTTATTTTTCTATTTATTACGTTTTGGTTTTAACGTGTATGTTATGTGTAGCTGGCACAAGAAGTCCTGGACCTTGCAGCCATGATGGTAAAACCAGGAGTTACAACAGAAGAAATTGATCACGCTGTGCACATGGTATGCACGCACAGCCGCACATAAGCATATTTGTACATTTTTGTGAGCTCATAATCTTAACCATCACAACTAATTGCCTAAACCAAAGTCTAACCCGAACCCTAAAACCAGGTGTTAACCCTCAAACAGCTCTTTGACAGGGTGTCAGAAAGTGGGGCCGGCCAAAATGTCCTCGTGCTCATTTTATAAAACTCAGTGGTCCTCACACTAACAAGTACACACACACTTTTTATCTCTTATGTTTAATGTATTGTTTTTCCTCATGTAAGTGGCTCTCGGTTGGCAGTGTCAGTCACTGGGCTTACAATGAAATATTTCTAAAACTATTAGATGTATTGCTGCAAACATTTACTGGGTGACCCTCTGTTTTGTCATTCATTGTAATATCTAACTATTGGATGGGTTGCTGTGAAAATTTTAATATCCCCCAGGTTTTTATCTGTTGCCATCAACAGGTCATTATTTAAATTTAAAGATTGGATGCTTGTTAGCATTGTCATTGTGAGCATCCTAACATGCTTTTGTTGGCTTTCAGTTCACAGCACCACAGCCCCACTGAGCTGCTAGCATGACTGTAGACTGTCTTGCTTAAATGTAATTATTGAGACACTGCTGATAAATAACGTAACTGTGAGTTGCTATATGTAAAGAGACCTTTTCCGGTATCCTGACTTGCATGCAGCCATTCCATTATGTCTGATCAAATACATGGAAAACACACCTATAGGGTCAACTGTGCTATACTCTGTATGTCCATGAAGGGGGAAAAGAGACACTGATCTTTTGTTACTGTGTCACCCACTGCTGATTTTCTCACTCACTGCATCTCTGCTATCTCTGTAACAGTCTTGCTTTAATTGTCCAGGCCTGTATAGCGAGGAACTGCTATCCCTCCCCTCTCAATTACTACAACTTCCCCAAATCTTGCTGCACGTCTGTCAATGAAGTCATCTGTCATGGTATCCCAGACAGAAGACCTCTTCAGGAAGGAGATATCCTCAATGGTATGCTCATTGCACTAGATAATGTATTATGATTCTGGGACCTAGCCTCACCTCCAGACAATGTTTTCCTTATTTTTCTTAGATGTACTGCTATGCCTGCCTACATCTGTATTTTTGTATTTGTTAGAAATGTCCTTATCAAATCTAACACCCAGCTCCTCTCACCGTTGTCATATTCACAATGTCAAACAAAGTGCTCTGAATAGTTCAGTTTGAATGTAGAGAAATGTTTTATTAAAGAGAGTGGAGAAAAGGTTTCTCCTCAGTGACAAATGATTGTACCAGTATGCTGAAATGGCACCAGCGGGAGTTTGGCCAATTTTAGCACCTTTATGAATATTTTTGCGAAGGGGGCATCTTCAGTCTGCCACTCCCCTCAGAGAGTTTGACGGAGAACTCACCAGCAACTTATGTCTCGCTGCGTGGTCCGACAAGACAGACAGGTTCATTAACCTTTACTGGTGGGGTTTTGCCAGTCAGATTCTCAGCTCTGTTTTCACCTTAAGTGGGAAGATGCCCACTCGAATTTCTAATCTCATCAGCAATTTGAAGACAGGGACATTTTTGTTTGGCCTTTATAAAAGTTTATATTCAAGCACTCCCAGTCATTATTAAATGTTTAGGCAGATTATTCATAACCGTACTTGCTTTGTGTTAATAGAATTTAGTTTTTCATGTAGCACTGTGACTCTGACATGGTCATTGTCTCACGCTTATGCAGTGGACATCACTGTCTACCACAATGGTTTCCATGGAGACCTCAATGAAACCTTCTTCGTCGGAGATGTGGATGAAGGAGCAAAGAAGCTGGTTCAGACCACATATGAATGCCTTATGCAAGCCATTGACTCTGGTAGGAAGCGAACCTTTATTTTCTGTCATTTTACTGGTTTTGTGGACACTGTAGGGATTGTAGTCACCTTCACAGATTCAGCTTTTAATACCTCAAATCAGACCACCTTGTGCTATTGAGACCCTACAGTAAGGTTTTAACAGTGAATGTTTTTCGTACACATATAGAGATTTTGTTTTGGAATATATTGTACAAACAATGAAATGCTCGTATTGTCCTCAAATCCCAGCATTAGCCATTCAACATTTGTTTTCTTTTTTCAGTAAAGCCTGGTATTCGCTACAGAGAATTAGGTAACATCATCCAGAAGCATGCTCAGGCCAATGGCTTCTCTGTGGTGCGCAGCTACTGTGGCCATGGCATCCACAGACTCTTCCACACTGCTCCCAATGTGCCACACTATGCCAGTGAGTGGTCACATATTAGCAGATTCTTCAGTTGTCTCTGAAAATTGCTATTGAATGTTCCCCAGCAACAGCATCATTTCTGTATTAATTTATTTCCCAGAAAACAAAGCAGTTGGGGTTATGAAACCTGGCCATGTGTTCACCATTGAACCCATGATATGTGAAGGTAAGTGTAACTACCTTTCTATAAATGATCTAGTCTATATAACACTGTGATAATTAAGATAATTAACCATAATTTGAATTAATATAATTGTAACATAATTGCCTTAGTTGAACAATGTATATAGTTTCAGCCTCCACATAAATGCAATGCCCCAATCAAGACAATTAAACATGCAAAGGTGACGCTACAACAAAATAGAAGCAAAATTAGAAGGTATAAACACATTGTCCTGTGAAAACCAAAACAGCAGCTTTCTGTTTTCTAGGAAAATGCTAATTTTCAGCTTTGTCACAATGCTTTTTCTTTTTCTTTTACTTAGAACTAGCAGACATTTCTCAACTTGAAAAGCTGAGTTAGGTAAGCTGTGTAACTAACTGGCTGAAAGTTAATATGTAAAATGGCCTAAGCTCCTAAGTGGAGTGTTTAGAGCCAAAAACTTGGTCACCTTCACCCTCAAGGCTCTTATTAAGAATGAGGATTTGAGGCCGTTAACTGGTCCATAGAGAGTTAAATGACGTGTGGTGCAGCAGACTCAGTCATGCTTTAAAGCAGGTCACCACCGTCTTAAAAGGACATTTTATACCTCAAGGGTATCCACCAAGTCAGTGCCAGACTGGGAGTGTTTGTTTCCGCAGCTCATTTTAATTGATGTGTGAAAGCCAGAGTCATGTGTAATCTTTGTGTGTGTAACATCTCAGGTGGCTGGCAAGATGAGACATGGCCCGATGGCTGGACAGCGGTGACCAGAGACGGTAAACGCTCGGCTCAGTTCGAACACACCCTGCTGGTGACGGAGACTGGCTGCGAGATCCTCACCCGTCGTCTGGAGAACGGTCGCGCTCATTTCCTGAGCCAAATGTAGGCCAGACCAGAACACGCCAAGGACTGGACTTTCCAAGATGGGCACCCAGCATCTCAAACAAGAGGTGCCACTCCTAGAACTCAGCGTAACTGTGGCAGTCATTGCTCATTAAATTAAATCTTGGTTCCTCAAACTAAATGGAAGTACTTGAATGTGTCTTATATCAAATGTGGATTGCTTTATTAGTGAAAACTGTGTCCTCTGAAGGAAACAAGAGTATTTATAAGATTTTGTTGTGCATAGTGATGGGGCTAGACATCAGGCCTGTTCTGACTTCTGGGTCTTACCACCCAGAGCTTTTACTGGCTGGCTAGTTGTTCTCTGTGGTGTGTAGAGCTCAGGGTAAGTTCAGCTAGCACGCTGCTTTTCTCTCAGCCTCTGCAAACATCATCAGGCTCTATATGATTTTACCAGACAGAGACTGAAAATAACCAGCAATGATAAAGACACAGGAGAGTTACAGGAAACAGGGTCAACAAGTTACATAAGCTCATCAACTAAAAATCTAAATTTAATTATTAGAGTAGGTCGATTGTGACCAAAAATTTAAATCTGGATTTCAGGCAACAAAAAGCATCTTCTGGCAGCCATATTGGATAGTTTGAACAAGCAGTTTGAATAATTTTTTGATGGTTTATAAGTTTACACATTGGCCATCTTAATAGATATGAAATAGAATAGTTTGGTATTTTAGGACACATGCTCATTTGCCTTCTTGCTAACAGCTGGAAAAGATTACACCATGTGTGTCCATTTAAAACAAAGCTAGAAATAGAAGATGGCTAGCTTATAATAAAACAGGGAGCAGGGGGAAACAGTTAGGCTAAGCTAAGCTAGCTGTCCCCCAGGCTCTAGTTTTGTATTTAATAATTATTTTCTCATCTCATTTAGTTTCTCTACTGGTTTTGACAGAAATATAAGCAATAATTGGCTGATGTAGTGCTTTATGCCAGCCAGTGGGCTAGCTATCACATCTTATTTACTTCCTTTTATTTTAATCTTTGTCTGTTGACATTTTCAGTACAGACACTAAATAAATTGTTTTATCCTGTCCACAGCTAGTTGTGGACATTGGCCACGGTTGCTAGTAGATTTGCGACACAACTACTGAGCATCTACACAAATACGAGAATAGCAACACTGAGCTCAAAGTCATTCAATTGCTAAACTTGTTAATCCTGCTGTAACGAACACTCCTTTGGTGTCTTGTGTTTCCACTAGCCCTGCTGTAGCAAATCGACCCTTATTGTCTGAATCATGGCATTAAAACTTGCCACTTCCCCCTTATCTCAACAGTCATGATTTACCTTGATGTGGAGTGTGAGCAGCAATGAATTATTTCTGCCTTTTCAAAGAACTAATGTGATCACAGTTTCTCTGCTATCTTTATATTTCTTCTAATGGAGTAATAAATGACTCTTCTGTACTTCTGTGTGGGCGAGTTTGTCCTTGAGTAGACTGGTGATCCATATCCCAAATGACTATCTGGGTGTCTGTCAGTCCTAATGCCTTTTTCAGTTCAGTGGAGGATAGTAAGAGTCTAAACTGCATTTGAGATTTGTTTGTTTATTCCCAAAAGAAACTAGTGTGCCTATATCAGTAAAATGTTTAACTTCATAAAATTACAATGGAGCATCCATAACCTTCATTCCAAATTTTGGCCAGTTTAGTATTTTGTCTGCAGTGATAGATACATGATCTCACTCATGTCTGTATTGTGGGAGTATGAAGCCTCAGCCAGCATTTGGTTTGCTTAGCTTGGCACAAACACTGGATGGGAAACAGCAACTCTGTCTCACTGCAAATGATCTTGTTTGTTCAGTCATAACATGAGTTGTAAAAAGAACAATTCCTATTCAATAGAGGGTCATGTACAGATAATTAGAGAAACAGAACAGACAAATCTATGCGATGAAGTTCAATTATTTTGTCTGGTGGATTTAAATGCAAGATTCAATGCAGATGACTGTACTTCAAATTCAGAAAACTTTATTTACATATGAAGTAAAAAACATGCTTTCATAAATCAGTCGTACTCCACATAATTTGAAATACTAATGCATAAATTGCTTCTCTGCTGTAATGTTCTGATAAATGCACTGCAAGAATATGTTTTCATTTTGTGTACTGTGTAGCATATTGTGATAAGAGTTTGAGAAAACTGAGCCAACACATTTGTAATAAACGGTACTGCTTTAATCATGGCTGAATTCCACAGAGTTTTACCATCATTAATGTTATTAGTAACAGCTGTACATTTCAGAATCGCATCAAAATGTCTGCTGTGATAAAGGCTGACTCTCAGGTTTAATAACCCAATGAAGCTAAACCTCTAACAACTGTTGGACTTACTTTTCAATGTCATGCGTTCTCGCTGTACTTGTACAGCAATCGGTTCACCTCACAGACATCAGACTGGTCTTCATCATCTTCATCAACCCAGATGGGGAAAAATAACTTTTGCTTCTGGTTTTCCACTGGTTTGCCACTGGATAAAGCATTAGAGTATGAACTGATCTGTTGGGAAACATGGCTGTTGACATGTTTGGAGTAACAGGGAATGGCATAGCCAAGTACAAGGTGTAATAGTAATTCTCTCAAGTAAGATACAATTTGAATAAATAAATTTTAAGTGAAAGTGAAGAATTTCTCAGTCTTCGAACCAGGCAAAACTTTCCTTACCCAAAAGACTAAAACCAGCTCTGTGCTCAGGAGAATAAAATAAAAAAATGATGTTTTGCTAGTGGTTAGGCAAGTTAGATTTTATCTGCAGTGTCTTAACATCCCTTTAACAGCTTCATCGGGCCTGTTTGTGATGTGGCTGTGCTACCTAATTATTCATTCAGACCAAAAAATATTTCTGAATAATCTTGTTTCAGTTTCCCTGTGCCTCCTTCTCACACTGTGACACACTGTGAGGGTGTCTTCCTTCATGTTGATCAAAGTGGCATCTGACGGCACCCTTTTCAATTAAAACTAACTCAAACAGGGAATTGAAAAGCTATTTATTACACTGCAGAGTAAGGCTGGAGACAGATCGTGGTCTTCTTTGCTCCTCTGCATCTAGAACTGGAGGACCACACAGAAGCCGAAAGAAAAAATTGGAATAAAAATGTGATATCAATTTTTTGAGGAAAGGCCTGTCATGGTGCAAACTATTATAGAATCCTGCCTCACACCATTCATCACATTCGGCTTTGTCCTCAACAGAGGGCAGCAGTGACACATAAGTTCTTAGACAAAACAATGGTACTACACCTACATATTCTTGTTGGTGTACAGTGAGTCGTGTCACAGCCTGGCTTCAAGGCTCAAGTTTGTTTCATGCAGTATGTGCTCATTATTGGTAAGTTTCAGTCTGAAGTTTCATTCACTTCAATTGAGAATGACCTGACACCACCTTGAAAAAACACAAGGAGTCAGCAGCAGTGCTCGCAGCTCTGGGAGGGAGGCTTTGCTGAAGCACAGCACTTCTTTAAGCAAAACACTAATGGCAGCATGCTAACACGCTCTCAGTGACAATGTCATGCACATATGTTAAGCAAGCACATTACTATCCTGGCCACGTTTAATGTTTATGACCCACAAAAACTAATTGTGAGTGGTTATTCAGCATGCACAGATAAGAAAGTTAATAATGGTCAATAACAGGGGATTTTTATTTCCCCGCTTGCATGCAGAATCAGAATCAGAATCAGAATCAGTTTTATTGGCCAGGTGTGATGGACACACGAGGAATTTGACTCTGGTACATCGGCTCTCAATGTGCAAACAGTAACTAGCATAAGGCTGTGTAATATAACAAAAATAAGCAGTATTAACAGCAACAAACAGTGCAAACAATGCAGAATAAGCATTATAAACAGGCAGTAAACAATGCAGACAACAAGGAATGTTCATTGAAATGAGAAAAATAGGGATAAGGGATAAAGATAGAGTACTTAAAACTAGAGACCTGTACGGATCTGTATAATCTGTACAATGTATATTTACAATCATACTGTCGTAGGTTAAGTGTTCATCAGAGTAACAGCCTGGGGGAAGAAACTGTCCCTGTGCCTGGTGGTCTTAGAGCACAGTGACTTGTAACGCCGTCCAGAGGGGAGGAGTTCAAACAGATTGTGTCCAGGGTGTGAGGGGTCTGCAGTGATCCTCTCCACCCTCCTTTTGACCCGTGATGTGTACAGGTCCTCCATGGAGGGCAGGCTCACACCAATGACCTTTTCTGCAGTCCTGACTGTCCACTGAAGTCTGTACTGTACATGTGTAATTGCCACATTGCCCACGCATTCAAAGGAGTTGTCCGTGCCTTCATCTGTCATCTCTACCAGGACCTCATGTATTGGCTTGCTTGCATCCTTTAGGTTCACCGCATCAGTGGCTCCAAACTCTCAGGCAGTTTTAAACTCATCAGAGTTGAGATTGACTCCAGTCATTGTGACTGGTCCAGCTGCTTCCAGTACGCCTAGGCCAAACACTGCACAGGCTGACTCAGCTTCCAGCTTTCATAGTTGTAACATCACTTTTGTCTAATCTTGAAGTAGGCATATGGTGAAACAAATCATCCCTGATTCAATATGTTTACAAGGTGGCACCTCCATCATCAGAAGTGGTTACCCAGCCTCCAATGCTACTGCAGCTTTGTACACAACATCCCAGAATCTCAGCTGGTTGAGCGTCAACATAACAATTATCTGGACATTAAACACATTCAGTGCTGTAGTGGAAGCAGTCTCACTAAAAGACTGAAGGAAAATAAATTACAATCTGCTACTTTTTTTTTAACCTAGTCCTATACATTTGAAAGGTCCGCTGAGATACAAGATATTTTCTTCCAGGGCATCCTGGTCAACATGACAGCATAGTTTCACATAAAGACCAATTTCACAAGTTAAAACACAAACAGTACACAAAACAGGCCATACCAGCATTATCCAGAGTTCCACTTCAGGTTAAGGATTATGCAAAACCGTTGTTTCCTTTAGGGGAGTTTGTAAAAGACAGTTAAAGGCATTCAAAGAAGGGAGTGTTACAAAAAACAGGATCAAGGTCATCAGTTCTCTGCTGTTTCTCCATAAGACAGACAGCTGTTTGACTGTTTCATCCCTTGGGCAGAAATGTTGCAATCATGGGAAATACTTCCGAGAGTCTTCCAAGACATTTACAAAACTCTTATAGTGAAAACATACAGTGAAAGAGAGCAACAGTAAAAGACAGTTAAAGGCATTCAAAGAAGGGAGTGTTACAAAAAACAGGATCAAGGTCATCAGTTCTCTGCTGTTTCTCCATAAGACAGACAGCTGTTTGACTGTTTCATCCCTTGGGCAGAAATGTTGCAATCATGGGAAATACCAGAGAGTCTTCCAAGACATTTACAAAACTCTTATAGTGAAAACATGCAGTGAAAGAGAGCAACAGATGGACTGTTCAGAGAAATGCAGTTAATAACATGACTCCTACTCATGAGGTCACCAGTCACAAAGAAGGCTCCAGCCTGCCTGTGGGCTGGGTGGTGTGTCTGAACACTCAGTCTTTTTCATGTCTCACAAAGCTCACGTCCTCCCTCATAGTCCTTTAGAGGTGAAGATGAGTAAAATTAAATAACATATGTAGACAAAAGTATAAGACATAAATTTCATGAAAACCTCTTTTTTGTCTTTATTGCTGCAAATTATAATATAATAACATAACAAAATACAAAACAAAATACCTAGACCCATCTTTTTTAAAAGATGGTTAAAGTCTCCAGCCACAATCACAGCCGCTTCTGGGTTTGCATTCATCTGCTTGCCGATCAGGCAGTACAGCTCCTCCAGCGCTAGCTCGCGGTGGTATATAGGTGGCTACAATCAGGATTGAGCAAATCTCTCTCACCGTTTTGAAAGGTCTGCATTTCACTGCCATATATTCCAAGTCAGGGGAGCAGTGTGTTCCAATGATGCTCATACACCAGCAGTTGTGGATGTACAGCGCCAGACCTCCACCTCTCTGTTTAGCAGATGCTGCAGTCGTGTCTGCTCGGAACACGCATGCAGTGGAAAACAGCTGGGGACAAAACTGTGAGAAGGCAACTTAAACAACTACTGGCTGGAGAGCATTTAATTAAGTTGATTTTGTTATGACTGACTCAAAGTCCACAACATAAAGGAGGAAAATACACTTCTTCATCTTCTTTCGGCTGTTCCCATTAGGGGTCACCACAGCGAATCATCTGTTTCCACCTAACTATCCTTGGCATCCTCTACTCTCACCCCAATTAACTTCATGTCCTCTTTTAGCACATCCATATATCTCCTCTTTGGCCTTCCTCTTGACCTCTTGCCTGGCAGCTCCATCTCCAACATCCTTCTACCAATATAACCACTATCCCTCCTCTGCACATGTCCAAACCATCTCAATCTGGCCTCTCTGACCTTGTCCCCAAAACAGCCGACCTGAGCTGTCCCTCTGATGTGCTCATTCCTAATCCTGGCCATCCGGGTCTCTCCTAAAGAGAACCTCAACATCTTCATCTCTGCTACCTCCATCTCTGCCTCTTGTCTTTTCCTCACTGCTACAGTCTCTAACCCATACACCATAGCTGGTCTCACTACTGTCTTGTACACCTTTCCTTTGATTCTTGCTGACACTCTTCTGTCACACAACACTCCTCACACATTGTTCCACTTCCCTCCCTCTCATTCATACACATGTATTC